ACACATAACTGAGAGTGCGCCTTTTAGTCCGGTGCGCCTTATGGTCGTGAAAATACGGTACAATTGCTTTGCTGTTTTCAGGTTTAGTCAAATAAGGGTTTTGAATAATTTTCCATTAAATGTAATAATTTTTTTAATAATTGATTACAGAGCATTTAATTAACTTAATTGGGTGGGGTTAGCTTCCTGTTGATCCTCAGACTTTGTCTGGAAGCCCTTTTGAAAACCACTGTTTTCACCCCCACCTCATTGTGTTGCTCCATAAACTCCTAATAAGGTTGGTAGTTGTAATGTAACCAAATGTTCACAGAAAAAAGGGGCACAAGGGGGTAAATACTTTTGTGAGGTATTGCAGTGAGGGGAAGAAGAAAACAAAGATGCAGAAATGAAGACCTACTGAATCTCTCTCTGCACAACAGCCGGATCAGAGAAGCCTGTAGTGTGAGAAATAACAAAATGCCTCTGGTTCCATGCAGAGTTATTCCGCACGTCCTCCTCTAAGAGAGTCTCCACAAACTCCAGCTCCTTGTCCCACAGTTTGTACTCCTGAGGATCAAACACAACGAAACCGTATCAGCAAGCTGTAAAACGGAGGTGGTGATGTGGACAGGAAAACTAATCTTAATCCTCATGTGGTGAAGGTTAACAGGATGAGGAGCAACACTTACCTGGATGACCCACTGTCTATGCTGCCATGCATGGTAGTTCTTGGCATCTTGGCTGAGGATGTCTGCAATGAACTCGAGTTCCTCTGAGGGGTCATTCAACCACTCCACCACCATACGTCTGTGATGCCTGACAAGGGATTAGAATAATCAGAGGTTTTCTGTCATTTTTGTGATCATGGAAACAAGTCTACACTCTTTAATTAATTTAACCTGAATCTTTAAAGTCGTAGGGAAGCGGCCATTCCAACCGTTGTATTTCTGAATTCTCCCAAGTGGTGCACGACTTTACACGAGTGAATAAAGTGAATGTGATTGGTCGTTTATCAAGGGGGCGGGATTGTAGTGGAGGAAGGTTCGCAAGCCTGTTTGGTTGTAGCCGGTTTGTCGCAAGCATCTTGCTAACCAGTTAGCAACTTAGTGCTAGTAGGTTCCCAATGGGA